AACGACTCTGCTAAATCAAATTCACTTACAGATATAACTCATAAACAAGTCTAATTATGCAAGTCAACCTCATAAACAATGCTCCATAATTAAAGACGAATGAAATTGCTCCACTGTTTATTCTTATAAATGATTCATTGGACTAAAGTTGCAACGTGAAGTTGACGCACACAAGATTACAAACTAAAGTTGGCCTTTCTACCGAAATTTAAAGTATATTGGAAGGAATTAATACTATAATTAATTTAATTAACTGGTTGAATGTACGTATTTATTTGTAATTAGCTAATCAAAAAATCTTTTCACCCAAGTGATGATCACTTTTAAATTGGTTGGTTGTTTTGTGGATCAGCACATTAGCAGCATAACTACGACAATAGTTTTTTCTTTTTATATCTTTCTTCTACTCCATTTGTCCTTGTTTCTCTAATGTTTTATAGAGCTTTAACTTGGTATGATATCTAACAATTATTTTTCAATGAAAAAGTAATCCTTATTACCTTATACGAGGGAGGGAATGCTCTAAGGGCCTGTTCTTATTGACTGAATTGAACTGAACTGCTGAGCTGAACTGAACTGAAATGAATATTGTATAAGAGAAGGAAATTAGGAGCTGAGCAGAAATGAACTGAAATGAATAATTTATGAGAGAAGGAAATTAGGAGCTGAACTGAACTGAACCGAATTGAACTGAACTGAATTTCAACGTATGAGAACAGGACCTTAATCAATTTGTTGACATATTAAATTATACTCGTAAGAAAATATTATATATATATATATATATATATATATATATATATATATATATATATATATATATATATATATATATATATATATATATATATATATATATATATATATATATATATATATATATCCCTTAGGGCAATATATAATGAGCTGAAAATAGAAAAAAAAAAATATTAATAACATTAATTACACCGACCATTTTATCATTCATTTCTAAATTAATAATCCGTACCAAATTAGGAAATTTATTAAAGGTATGTGCTTCAAATAGAATTCTCTCTTCTACACATCTATGCAGAGTCTATTCTTTTTTTTGTAGTTTTGATTCATGTATCTTGTATCTTATATGAATGACGCTGACATGATTATCCTATTCCCACTAGTAGAAAAATTCATAAAGGCAACCCCCTTTTGGCACCGGTTCAAGCCAAACCGGTGCCAAAAACCGGCCCAAAATTGGGCGGGATTTAATAAGTTGGTAAAAGGCACCGGTTCAACTAAAACCGGGGCCAAAAAACTAAAAAGCACCGGTTTGAACCGGTGCCTAAGTGAACCGGTGGTTTTTTTTTTTAAAAAAAAACCCAGCCCTTTTCCCTCCTTTCTTCCTCCTTTCCTTAACCATTCACATTCACTGTTTCATTCGAAAAGCCCAAACCATTGCTGCCTCCGTCCCCTCCTTTTCCCTCCACCACTGCTGCCACCTTGAACACCACCAGAAAACCCGAACCTAGTCTCCGTCCCCTCCTTTTCCCTCCATCTCTGCTGTTTGAATTAAAGAAGCTGCGCCACAGCCCTGCTGTTCGAATTGAAGAAGCCTCGGTCTGCTGTTCTCCTCTTCTCTTCTCCTCTTCTCTGCTGTTCTCCTCTTCTCTTCTCCTCTGGGGCTGTTTGAAGACGCCGCGCCGCAGCCCTAAACGTCGCCGCCGCACCACCTTCCACGGCTGTTCTAGGTATAATTTTTTTTCCTTTATTCACAATTATTTTATTAATTATGTATTTTTATTAATTTCTTTTGCTTGTTGAATTGTTAAGCAAATTAAAATTTAGGGGCTTCCTAATTAGAAGATAAATATGATAATCACATCACATTGAGATCTTAAAATAGTTTGGTATATATAAATGAATTGAACAGAAGGAAAAAAAAACTTGAGAACAAGTGGTCACATGACTCTTGTTATTATCCCAGTTTGCGTCTAGTATTTGTATGCTTCAGTGTATATGGTTGGGTTCTGCTGCTAGATGGTTGTCATCGCTTGCAAGAGCTGTGTAAGTGAATGTAGATGCGGGCTTTATTTAGGAGTTGGGTTGTGGTTTGGGTGCTGTTGTGAGGGACAAGGAAGGGGTTGTCAAGGTATGTAGTAGGGGTGCAGCAGAGTAGTGCTAATTGGGAGATAAGGGTGGCAGAAGCAAAAGCTGTGATGTGTGGGCTTTGGTTTGCTGCAAACCCGGGGTTGCGAGAGGTAATCATTAAGAGCTATTGTTTTGTAAATAATTTGAGAGCGGTTGTTTTGAGACTGATTGTTTTGTTGCAAACCTGAGGTAATGTGTTAATTATTTTTGCAAAACCTATATCCTACTAGCTGGTTCCAAGAATTTATTTCAAGTAAAATCTGATTCATAACTATACAATGTTTGCAAAAAAATGATCACTAACCTAGATTAACGTAGTATAGAAAATTATCTAATGGGATTCAAGCTGCACCAGATTGATTGGGATCATTAAGATTTAAAGCATGCAACTACTTTGGCCATTAGCCCCTTTAATTTTTATATATATATTTTTTTATTATTTTTCTAAAAATTTTGCACTGTTATTTTATATTTATTAATTAGTTTGTGGGAGTTATGTTTGTTCCCTTTACTTACCCTCCTACTGATTGCTTCGACATATATTTATTAATTAGGTTTAAATATAATTTTACTTCAATTTTTATCAATTTTTGGTTTTTTTATTGGGAAATTGTGAAAATATTAGAGATTAGTAACCTTGTTACTCAATTAGTTGGATTTTATTATGTTTTAATGGTTAATTTAATATGTTTTGGTGTATAATTTTGAAACAATTATAGAAAATATATTAATCTTGGTACTTAATTAAATAGGTGAAATTTGGTATTTTACTTTTAATGGTTAATTTGAAGTTGTTTTGATGGATTATTTTGAATAAGTTAGAGATTAGTTAACTTTGTTATTAAATAAGTTGAATTTTGGAATGTTTAAATGGTTAATATTAAATTGTTTTGATGGGTATATTTGAATTAATTTGAGATTAGCTAAGTAACCTTGCTTGTTATTAAAGTAGATGAACTTTGGAATGGGTGAATGGTTACTTTTAAGTTGTTTTGATGGGTAATTTTGAAAAAATTAGATATTAGTAACCTTGTTAGTTTAGCAATTGTTAGTTCAATGAATGATGTGTTTCACTACTAGAAATAGGCTAAATTGCGACGGAATGCTTACGACGGACATGATTTTCCGTCGTTAAGGTGGATATTTTCGACGGAAAATATTTCGTCGCAATTTAGCGACGGAAAATTTCGATTACGAGGCATTTTCTCTCGTAAAATTTACGACGGAATTTATATCCGTCGTAATTTAAAACTTGCGACGGAATATTCCGTCGTAAAGTGTTTTGCGACGGAATATTCCGTCGTAAGTTTTAAATTACGACGGAAATAAATTCCGTCGTAAAGTTTACTGTCATTTTTTGAAAATTAAAATTGCGACCTTGCCCTAAAAAAAAGGGGGAAATAATTGAAACGCAGAGAGAGAAGTGAAGCAGCGCGAGGAGAAAGAGAAAGAGAAGGAGAGAGAGAAGGAGAGAGGAGAAAGTCGCGGCGGCGGTGGTGATTTCTTTACGCCGACGATGCACATCAGCCGCCGAGAAAGAGAACGGGAAACAGAGAGGAGAAAAAGAACGGGAAAGAAAGAGAGAGGAGAATGAGAACGGGTAAGAGAAAGATAAGGAGGAAGGGAGAGTTGTCGAGCCCTGGTGGTTTCCGGCGAGCCGCCGCGTCTAGGTAAGTGTGTGCAATTGTCAATTATTTTTTTTTTTGCAATAAAAAACTACCGGAATAACATATAACCACCACAACGCAGCCGCACCTCCGTCCCCTAGCCGTGACTGAACCAACCGGCCCTTGGTTGTTTCCGGCGACGTCCCACCTCCGCCTGACAGTAAGTTGCCTTTGCTTTCCCCCTTTTTTTTCAATTTAATTTTGTTTACTTATAAACCCTTAATTATTATTTTTTTTAATTTGTTGTAGGATTTGTACAATTTTGTTGGTTTAATTGTTAAAAAGAAGTGCAGATCTAAAGGTTAGTTACATTACAAACCCTAATATAATGTATATGTGTATCTTACTTTGGTTGTTAGATATTCAATAACTTTTAGTTTGGTCAATTTAATGACATTGGTGATCTCTTATAAGTAATTAATTGCTCCCTTCTCTTTAAAAAAACAATATAATGTTAGTTTGGTTTAGTTTAGTTTAACATAATGTAGTTTATTTAAGTTTATGTTAATATAATGTGTTTTAGTTTAATTTATTTTAATATAAAGTACCTTATGTAGTTTAGTTTTTTTAAGAAATATGTTAGTTTAATTTAATATATAAAACGGTAGTTTGGTTTGGTTTAGTTTAATATAATATATTAGTTTACTTTGGTTTGGTTTGATTTGGTTTATATTAATAGTATGGTGTCATGATATGTTTCTCTTGTTTAGTTTAATCTTGATATATTTGTTTAATATTATGTATGTTAGTTAAGTATATATATTTTTAAAAAAATCATTTGCATAATCATATGCCTAGATACCCGTTCAAGGCATACACATTAGGAGTATGTCTTGAATAGTCCCCGGTTGGGACTGTCCTTGTACGTTTATTCTCACTTAGGTGGTGAATGTATTCCTTTGTTTTAATTCTAAGGAAGATCCTTGCTTGTCATTTCTCTAAAATGTTCTCTAGGTACATATATGTGTTTCTAATCGCCTATATTGTGTACTCGGGGAATGGTAGGGAGATGCTGCCGGATTTTCCATAGAATTGAAATTCTGGAATACATTCACTAGTGAGATTGAACGTACAAGGATGGGTTAGGTTGGAGTGATAAGGACCCTTGGAAATCATTTCTCTTCTCATTTGCATTTCCATAACAGTTTGATCTATAATGAATATATATTGTGCTTTATGACTAATGTGATTAATGGCATATGTGTTAGTTGTGTAGAACTTGTAATCATGAAACGAAAAGAACGTAGCTGGATGTACGAAAGGAAGGTTGAGAATTCTATTAATCCTGAGTTCTTGAAGGGGGTAGATGAATTCCTTAAATATGTGGAAGATCATCCCGAGAGTAACAACCCGAATGAAGTTAGGTGTCCATGTTTTAAATGCAAAAATAAACGTCTCTGGGATCCAGATACGGTCAAACTTCATTTGTATCGCAGCGGTTTTTTACCTAATTACTACGAGTGGATGTGTCATGGGGAAGGGTTTCCAGGAACTCGTAGAAGGGAGTCAAATGAATATCGTGAAATGGTTTTGGATGCCTTTAGTCAGTCTCAAGATCAAGGCCATTCCGAAGAGCCACCTGTTTCATTAGAGGAGGAGCCTAATGCACAAGCCAAGCCATTTTTTGATTTGTTAAGGGGTTCTGAACAACCGTTATACGAAGGGAGTTCATTGTCTGTGTTAGAGATGGCTTCTAGAATCACTAGCCTAAAGTGTGAGTATAATTTTCCGCACAGATGTGTTGATGGATTTGCTTCTTTGGTTAATGAAGCGATTCCTAACAACAATCACATGGCCGAGACATTCTATGAGGTCAAGAAAATTGTTAAGGGGTTAGAGCTGCCTCATGAAAAGATTCATGCATGCCTGAAAGGATGTATGTTGTTTTGGAAAGATGATGCTCAATTATCTATATGTAGGGTGTGTGGCAGCGACCGATACAAGAAGACTTCTAAAGGTAGCTTAGTGCCTTTGAATGTTCTATTTTATTTCCCTATCACACCTAGGTTGCAAAGGCTTTTTGCAACTAAAAACGTTTCTGAGGAAATGACATGGCTTGCTAAAAATCCTCGAGTTCAAGGCACAATGGCACACCCTAGCGATAGTGAAGCGTGGAAACACCTAGATAGTTGCTTTCCTGAGTTTTCCTTTGAACCTCGTAATGTTCGACTTGGCCTATGTACGGATGGATTTGCTCCACATGGTCAGTTTGGGGGACAATATTCATGTTGGCCTGTCATTTTGACCTCTTATAACTTGCCTCCGTCAATGTGTATGAAAAGACAGTTCATGTTTCTTTCGTTACTCGTTCCTGGTCCTAAAAACCCTAAGGGCAACTTGGATGTTTACATGCAGCCGCTCATACACGAGTTGAAACAGTTGTGGGAAGTTGGGGCAAATACTTACGATATTTTGAGAAAACAAAATTTCAATCTTCGAGCAGCCATCCTATGGACCGTTAGTGACTTCCCGGCTTATGGTATGTTATCTGGTTGGACCACAGCCGGTAAGAAGGCTTGTCCATATTGCATGGAGGAAAGCAAAGCATTTTGGCTCGAAAATGGTGGTAAGGTTTCTTTGCGTGACTGCCATCGTCAATTCCTTCCGACAAATCATCCTTTTCGAAATAGTAAAAATGCATTTTGTAAAAACAAAGTCGCAAAAGGTTCACCACCTCACATCATGTCAGGAGAGGAACTTTGGGAATGTGTGAAAAACCTCCCGAAAGCAACAGATGGCCCCGAGGCACTGAAACGTCTCAAGAATGCAAAAAAAGGGTGGTTCAAGCAAAGCACTCTATGGGACCTTCCATATTGGAAACATCTGCTTGTTCGTCACAACTTAGATGTCATGCACGTTGAAAAAAACTTTTTTGATCAGTTGATTCACACTATAATGGACGTGAAAAAGCTATCTTGTGACACGCCATCAGCTCGGAATGACATTGCTAAATACTGTAAACGGCCCCAACTACATCTTCAAGAGGATGATAGAGGAAAAGAATTCATGCCAAAGGCTCCATTTGCTCTTGACAAGGCTCAGAGAAAGGTTTTGTGTGAGTGGGTCAAACAGATGCGGTTTCCTGATGGTTACGCTTCCAATTTGAGCCGATGCGTTGATTTGCAATCAGGTAAGTTACATGGAATGAAAAGTCATGATTGTCACGTGTTCATGGAGAGGTTGTTTCCCACTGCTTTGAGAAAATTTCTCCCTACCCATATATGGAATGCAATTACAGAGATAAGCCAATTCTTTCGCGATTTATGTTGCTACACAATTACAGTTAGAGACATGGAGCGATTGGAAAAAAACATAGCTGAGATCCTGTGCAAGCTTGAGAAGGTTTTCCCCCCATCTTTCTTCAACTCCATGGAGCATTTACCAATTCTTGCCATATGAGGGCAAGTTATGTGGACCTGTTCAATATCGGTGGATGTATCCTTTCGAAAGGTAAATCAAAGGTCCTTTCTCAACTCTTACTTTCATCTCTTTCATTGATTTCCGTTACTTATACTACTACGGCTACATAAACATAATTACAGGTTCCTTAATCACCTGAAACGAAAAATTGGTAATAAGGCTTGTGTTGAAGGTTCCATATGCAACGCTTATCTCACTGAAGAGATATCAAACTTCTGCTCCAATTACTTTCAGCCCTCAATTGACACAAAAACACGAGATCTAGGTCGAAATGTGAATGCTGATGTGGAATCCCCGGCTGACAACGATGAAATCCCAGAGCTGTTCACGGTGGATAAGGGTCGTGTGTCAAATTTGGGTACAACTCGGTATTTAGATGACAAGGAACTCGAACGTGCTCATTTGTTCGTTTTAAGAAATACCGGCATTCTTAGTGAATACGAAAGGTATATATGTTTACGATAAACTTTTGAAAATCCCTTAAATTTAATATAATTCCTGCAATGATTAACCATGTGTCATTAATCTATTAGGCAGTTTGAGGACTACATTCTTAGTACTCGAACTTATTTGTGTCGAGAAGATGTCATTGAGAAATGCGAAAGTGAATTCCCTGATTGGTTTCATCACAAGGTGATAATACTTTTCGAACATTGCATCTCGATTAATTTGTGATAATATAATATAATATATTTCATTTCAATTAGTGTGACGCTTGTATTCGTATCGGTTATAGGTGAGAGAACAAAAACCAAGTTCCGATGTGTTGCGAGCATTGTCTATGAGGCCTTTCAAGCGTGTTCGAACTTGGAACCAGATATTTGTCGGTGGCTTTAATTTCCACACACAGTCCTATTGCAAACACAAATCTACGATGAATTACGGGGTGTGTGTCTCAAGTGAGGACGGTGGAGAGTACTTTGGCATTTTAAACGACATAATTGAACTTGTCTACACCGGTCCCGAAAAAGAGTACAAGACTATTTTGTTTAGTTGTAGTTGGATGGATTGTGGTAAAGGAATGAACATTCATGAACAATACAAGCTTGTCGAAGTAAATCATACTAAGAAGTATCCCAAGTATGATCCATTTGTGAATTGACATGTTATGAGAAAGAAATAGTACATACCTTATATTTAACCTAATTTTTGTATATTGTTTTTTTTTTAACAGATTTGTGAGTTGAAGCACGAGTTTAATTAGCTTGAGGACTACATATTGAGCTCAAGTGGGTAGTTGCTATATTGGTATGACTTATAAACTTTACTTAGCTATATTTCTTTCTATTTATCCATTTAATAAAATTTTATTCATGAAATTTCAACTTGTGCATTGTTTAATTGCAAATAAATACAACAATATATAGAATACTTGAATTGCATCATCATATGCCTAGATACCCGTTCAAGGCTTTCTCATTAGGAGAAAGTCTTGAATAGTCCCCGGTTGGGACTGTTCTTGAATGTGTACTCTCACTTAGGTGGTGAATGTATGTTTTCTTTTCGATTTTAAGGAACATCTTGGCTTGCCATTTCCTCACTATGTTCTTTGGGTACATATGTGGGTAATTAATTATCTACATCGTGTACTTGGAGAACTAGCTAGGGGGAAATGCTGCCGGATTTTCCTTAAAATTGGAAAGTTGACATACATTCACTAGTGAGAGTAGACATTCAAGGATGGGTTAGGTTGGAGTGATAAGGACCCTTAGGAAACATGCATTTTTTCACTATATGAATGGTATATTCACGTTTTGTACTTGAATTTTATTTACATAAAATATGTAGCACTTACACATTATAATTATATGGTGCTATATATGTTTAGAGACAATTTACTAAATGGAGAAGGATCGTGGTTGGATGTATGGTAGACACGATACATTGGAATTTTGGAATGGGGTTCAAGAGTTTTGCGAGAGGGCTTTAGCTTATCAACACAAACTGGGAGGCAAAGGCCTTTATTGTCCTTGTGTTGATTGTAATAATGTGAATGTGGTCGATAATGTTGAAATCATTAGAGATCATGTATTATGTCGTGGGTTTAGGAAATTATACCATGTGTGGATTTGGCACGGAGAAAGTGGAGAGTACAGTGGGGATCTTGATCGGAATGATGTGCGTGTTAGAAGCACTGAGATTCATGTGGACGAGGAATACGAGAATGATGAGTATATTGTTGATAATGGTGAGGATGGAGCCGATGAAGATCAGGCGGATGAGGTCGAGGATGAACAAGTGGATGAGATGTTGCAAGGTGTTGAAGGTGAAGTGTTTGAATTATTATCGGAGGCTTCCGAAAATCCTTTGTATCCCGGGTGCAAAAAATACTCCAAACTATCGGCCGTGCTAACACTTTTCAACATTAAGTCGAAGCATGGGTGGACGGATATCAGTTTTACTTCTTTGTTGACCGCGTTAAGTGATATGTTGCCTGATGGGAATGAAATTCCTAAGTCTTATTATTACGCAAAGAAGCTCATGTGTCCCTTTGGTTTGGAGTATAAGAAGATACATGCATGTCCTAATGACTGTATTTTGTATCGAAATGAGTATGAAAAACTGCAGGAGTGTCCACGATGCAAGCGGTCGCGGTACAAGCGCATGAGTTGCAATCATGGCACGGAGGGACCTCTGGCTAAGGTGTTGTGGTATCTTCCCATTATTCCAAGGTTTAAGCGTCTGTTCTCAATACCAAAAGACGCTAAAAACTTGAGGTGGCATGCAGAGGGAAGAAAGAAAAACAGAATGCTGAAGCATCCAGCTGACTCTCCACAGTGGAAGAACATTGATTTGAAGTTTGAGGAATTTGGTAATGAAGTCAGAAATTTAAGGCTTGGGTTGTGCACGGACGGGATGAATCCATTTGGCATTCTTAGTACCCAACACAACACATGGGCGGTACTTTTAGTGATTTATAATTTGCCTCCTTGGCTGTGCATGAAATGTAAGTATGTAATTCTTTCATTGCTAATAATTGGTCCTAAGAAACCTAGAAACGACATAGATGTTTACCTTGCGCCGCTTATTGACGACTTGAGAAAGATGTGGGACGAAGGGGTTTCCGTTTTCGATGCTCATCAGAACGAGATGTTCACATTGCGTGCAGCCCTTATGTGGACCATGAATGACTTCCCTGCATATGGAAAATTGTGTGGGTACAAGGTCAAAGGGAAAAAATCATGCCCCATATGTATGATGACACATCAAGCGTATACCTGACTCATTCTCACAAAGATGTCTACCTACGGACTCGAAGGTTCCTTAGGCGTGATCACCCGTACCGTAGGCAGAAAAAGGCTTTCGATGGAACCGTGGAAGTGGATACTGCGCCTAGACCATTGACTGGTGCTGAGATTAGTGCTCGGGTGAAAGGGATACGAACGGTGTTTGGAAAATCAGAAAAAACTGTGGTCTCAGCTGCTCTGTTTAAGAAAGAATCAATCTTTTGGAAGCTGTCGTACTGGAGAGAACATGACGTTAGGCATTGTCTTGATGTGATGCATATAGAGAAGAATGTGTGTGATGCTCTTTTGGGGACGCTTATGAATATCCCAGGCAAAACAAAGGACGGAAAGGGTGCACGGTTAGATTTGAAAGAGATGGGGATTCGTCCAGAATTGTGGCCTCAAGAAAAGGTTAGAAAGGGGAAGGAGCCGAGAATAGAAGATGAAAATGTTTCAAAAAAAGGGAAGGAGAAGAGCAAGGGAAAGGGAAAGGCCAAAGATGCGTCAAAGAAGAAAGTTAAGGGTAAAGGGAAGGATGAAAAGAATTATTTACCCCCGTCTTGCTATACATTGTCAAGGGTAGAGAAATGTATGTTTTGTGCATGTTTGTACGGAATTAAGGTTCCATCAGGGTACTCATCTAACATGAAAAGATTTGTAACCTTAAATGGAGAATTGAAGCTGACAAGTATGAAATCCCATGATTGTCACATTATGATGCAAGTATTCCTACCGATTGCAATCCGTGGTATTCTACCGAAACACATGAGGGAAGTGATTACAAGCCTTTGTTCGTTTTTCAATACAATTTGTAGCAAAGTTCTTGATCCTTGTACACTAGATGCTTTACAAGCAGATGTGGTTGTGACTTTGTGCAAATTTGAGATGTATTTCCCACCCTCATTTTTTGACATAATGGTTCATCTGGTTCTTCATTTGGTGCGTGAGATTAAGTTGTGCGGTCCAGTGTTCATGAGGTGGTGCTACCCTTTTGAAAGACACATGGGTACATTACAAGATAAAGTACGGAACCGAGCTCACCCTGAAGGAAGTATAATGCAAGGGACAGTGGGTGAGGAGATAGGTAACTTTGTGGCGGACTACATAGTCCTTGCTCAACCTATTGGTCTTCCTACTTCTTGACATGAAGGTAGACTTGATGGTCATGGCACAATTGGGTCGAAACGAATGTTACCAGACCGAGATCAGTTCTTACAAGCACACCTTTATGTGTTGCACCATGTTTCAGATGTGCACCCATATTTAGACGAGCACATGGCTTGTTTGCGTGCCGAATTTCCATCCAAAGGTGAAAGGGCACTTATGCAGTTGCATAATAAGAAATTTGTTGATTGGTTTCGTGAACGAGTAATGAGTGGATTGAATGATACTAAAGTGACCGATACAGTACGGTGGCTTGCGTACGGTCCTAGGGATGATGTCCATTCATTTGAGGGATATGACATCAATGGGTACACTTTTTGGACCGAGGCTCGTGATTTGAAATCTTCCTCCACCCAAAACAGTGGTGTAACTCTTGTGGCATCGTCAAGGGAGTTTGCAAGTTCTAAGGATAAATCACCTATCGATGCAGAGTTGTCATACTATGGTCGAATTCAAGAAATATGGGAGCTTGATTATTTATAAGTGTTTGTAATTTGAAATTACATAAAAATCGCCAAGTTCTAAGTTTTTGGGTCCAATTCATCAAAATAAAGCCATTTTGAGCCGAAATGGCTACTCACTTGACTA